AATACAAACATTATTGATAATTCAATCATTTTTAAAGAGATGAAATTATCAATTTTGACATTTGTATCCGACATAAAAATTCTCATAATTTTAAACGGATTAATAGTGATTACTTTCTATATGTCTTCTATCATTTACCATAATCATTTAATCAACTTGTTCCCATAATCAATGTAAATACATATATAATAGTTATAAAAATAAAAAGAATTAAAAATAAATAAAATTCCTTCTTATTTGCATAATCTATATAAAAAAAATAGTAATATAATTTGCACTTCTATATACAAACTATTTTTATCTCACATATTATTTTTGTCAAAATTTAATATATATATATATATATATATATATATATATATATCTCACATATTATTTTCGTCATAATTATATATATATGTCATATATATATATATATATATATATATATATATATATATATATATATATATATATATATATATATAACACTCTAGATTTTAAGGTTTGAAAAAAATTGTTTATTGATGATAACATAATCTTAATTAAATAAAAATGATGAGTAATTGCGTGTTTGAAAGTCTATTAAAGTTAAATCCAACTCTTATTTACTTCACCTACAATTATTCCACACATAAACTTTTTTATTCTTATTTTTTAATACAATTAGTTTAAATTTGACTATATCTGACTTCAATGTTCATAATCTAAAAATTATATTTTCACTGTCCAATTATCACACAATTCTAAATAAAAACGAATTTTTAAAATTTTTAATTTATGGTAAAATTTGTTAAGAATTATAATTCTTTTATCTTTATTTTTTACATATTATCCTAGTTCAACCTACCTTCCTTAACTTAAAATTCCTCTTATCATATATGCATGTTGCGTATTTTTTCTGAAGGCTAATTACAAGAAAATTTTCACAAATAAAACATGACTCATCATATAAAGAAAAAAATGACGTTGCAACTTTTCATCAAAGGGATAAATTTCTTCTAATTTCACCAGATTGAGTCACCTTGTTAAAAATTTACACGAGATTTAAATTGTGTTTTGTAAAATAATTTTAAATATAAGAAAATTGTACTACATATCATAACTTTAGCATCATTTTCTTTAAACCAAAATCGTACTATAGAAAAATTTCTGTTATAATATAATATAACTAAAGTTTAATTATATAGTTTGACTTCATTATTGAATATAACAAAAGTTGTGTTATATAATATAACTTTAATTATATCTAATTTTTTTATGTTAATAATTGATATATAAAGTTTAATTATAAATTATTAATATATAAAAAACTTAATATATATATATATAACAAATAGATATAAATAAAATTATTATAGATTATGTATTTATATATATTATATAATATTTATAAATATATCATTATAAATTAATTTTATTTAAGTAGTGTATTTTGAAGTACTATTCTGGTGTCAACATAAACAAAGTGATTTAACACAAGTCAGAAACATAAATATATTATTTCATGCAATGCTACACCTGCATAATTCTTAACAAGTTTAAGCTGGGAGAAACCATTAAAAATAGAGTAAAAAATTCTTATAAAACAACAAACCATATTAAATTAAAAGATTCAGAAGTCAGAAATGATGAGAAAGGATGATGACACATTGAATCTTCAAGTTTTTATTCTAAACTTTGAATCATTAAGGTGTGATGTGAGAATATATATATATATATATATATATATATATATATATATATATATATATATATATATATATATATATATATATATATATATATATATATATATATATATTTATCTTGTTTTTATCATGAAATTAAATTGAAATTTTCTTGTTCTATAATTCATATGTATTTTATGAATTTCTTGATTTATATATAATGTATGAAAATTAAGATTAATTGATTGTTTCTATTCTGCAAAACTTTCCTTAAAATGTTAACCTAAAATTATCTTCAAACTCATTAGGAAAATCTTTTTATACATACATGATATTCTTCTAAGTTGAAATTTTTTTATTCCTATTTTTTAAGAGATTGAAGTGACTTATCATGATAAATATAAATTCCTAAAAATGGAAAGAATTACTAAAATATTTCGTATCAAAGTGACTTTAAGATCAATTTAATCTTATGGTCAACTAACTAGCCACAAGAATATGGTGAACATATATAAAACAAGAATTATAAATTATTAATTAAAAGAGGTGATGATGTGAATTAAATATTTGTTTTGAACTTTTTAAGTCTACAAACAAATGTCCATTCTCTTTTTAAATCAAACTATAGTGTACGTACAAACACCTTACCAAGATCTTTATCTTGAAAAATATTTTTTTATATTTATTTTTTATATTTTTAAACTCAGACCATTAAAAAATATAGATTAAATATTTAAATATTCAATCGAATTTAATAAAATAATATTTTTATAATATAATAAATATATAATAATTTGTTAAACAAAAATAATAAAATTTATTATCATAATTACTATAAATAATTATAAATATAAAATATATTTAAAGTTGAAGTAATTAACAAGAAATAAAAAAATTGATTTTAAATATTGTTTTTATTATTAAAATGGTTCATATTTAAAAATTAGTTGGTTTTTTTAGTTTTATCAATTTTATTTCAAATTTTTCGATTTTATCTATTTCAATTAAAATCTAATTATTTTAAAGTAATAGACCGATTTCTATTTTAGTTTCTAATATATATAACCAATTAAACAGTGGCTCCAACCCGATGTTCGAAACAATACCTATTTTAGAAAAACTCTAAATCAAATAAATAACTTAAAATAATAATAATACCTTAAAATGCACTTTTATCGAGACTAAGGAAAAAGTCTCTTACTAATCAATATTTTATGGTTGACTATGAATATTTCGTGTTAAAACACTCCATTATAATGTGTCTAAAGATTAGAAAAAAAAAAAAAAAAAAAGAATAGATAAAGAATTGAATAGAATGAGAATATCAGATATTTTCTTCCATGCAGTATCACAAGTTAAAATATGTCAAAGTTAACCTTGAACAATCCTTTTATATATACATATATGAATGATGATGTTATCCTGAAGGACATAAAAGTCAAAGTGGGAGATTGAACGAAGGAGGCAATATGTGTGCGGAACTGCGGATTGACTTGCCAAAGTAGGAGGAACAAACACTCATCCCTTCTATTCTAGGTCTAATGCTGTGTCATAGGGCACCCTCCATTTTAGCAACCATCTACTTTTCTATTTACAAATCATAATTCTACACCCTATTTTTTATATGGGGATAGGATCTCTCTATTTCCATTTCTTTCAATATTTTTTTCCTACATAATACAAAACTTGATGCATCCCATAGACTAAAAGAGAACTAGGAAACAAATATTTAAAATGGCGACATCCTTTGCCATATTAAGTCCTTTTTTCTTTCTACACTACCAAAAGGGTAACGCCAGAATGAGTTACTAAATGCGCCAACACGATTCAATTAAGTGCACATGCATGTCAAAAATATACAAGAATTTGGGTAGTTGATACCATTATAATTCCTATCTCTTACTCAAATTAACTCTCTTATATTCCCTACTGGACCCTGAAATTCAAACAACAAACTTAAGTGAAAGGAAATTAAACAATACTATTTTCATGACATTGTTTAATTTTATTTTCAAACAACATTATCAAAACACACACGGTCACTTAATAATCAACTTCATTCACATTATTCTCAATGTAAACGCAAGTATTTATCTTCGTAATGTTTACGTATGACAGACAGATAAGAAATAAGAAGAAACTATTACTCTATGGAAAACAACGGGGTTGTCACGATGACCTTTTAATTTGTTTCCCTTTTTATATTACACTTAATTGATAGCGTCATATATTAGATATATCAAAACTCTTTTTTTCAACAAACGGTGTTTTGACGTTGCTGTGCGCAAATAATATTTAATTTTTTTTAGAGAGAAGAGAACGTTTATGACCACTGCATTTCAAAGATATCTCAGAAACCCTAACGTTACTCACTAATTTATTTCATAATCATGTGCGGATAAATACCCAAATAATATAAAAATATTCCAACTTGATTATGGTTTCAACTTTTATTTTGTCTTTTCATACCTCGTTCAAGTATTTATAGGTTTCATTATTTAATCATGTCTTGATTTTTCCACCATAATATGTTGTGTTTAAGATCCTAAAAGAAGCCAACATTTTGATAATGGAACATGACAGTTCCTGCTTTGTTTTTATTAAATGTAATTGAAAACTTGAAGGAGTGTTAACACGCAGTTCTGATGAGTCAGTCGTTTGATGGTTGTAAAGTACCACTCGGAATAGAAGCTGTTTTAATTAGAACGTGTTTGGGTATCAAAGGAAATCTATTATGACACTTAAAATCACGTCCAAATTGAATACTGGAAGCAACTTTTTATTTCTTTTGAATATAATCTTAAACATGTAATCACTACAACTACTTGAAATTCCTATTCTGCAGCTTTTAGTTGTCTACTTGCTAACTAACCCCAAGAAGACAAAATGGATCTTTTTATAGATATATCTTCTGTGTGCATGAGTGTATATCGTAGCAAAATATTAAATTAACTTAACTAAAATGAAATATTGAATGATTTTTAAATTTTGGTATAATAAATATTTTAATCACGATAGATAAAAATGTTCACATGTGAAGGGACCACTTTTCCATCAATAAAATGCCATATCATTACAGATAGTTACATACGATTAATTAAAATATATAGTAAATACAAAAAACAGAGTATGACATAAATGTTTTTGCATATACTGAATCCTCTATTCCAGTACCGTGTCCTTAGCAGGGAATTAAGGACCATGCATTCCAAGAATTAAGGTCATGTACCATAATGAAATTAACAGGTCATATTTACAACAACAGTACAACATGGGCGTTGACACCACAAATTAAACTGCATTTAATTTATTCTACATACTGTGGAGAATCATGTCATATAACGTACAAGGTTAAGTGTAGGGTCCATAATCACAAGAATAAAATTGCCCTGGACCACCCTTAGATTCTTTGAGACCAGATGAATGAATGCGCTCTGAAATTTTGTTGCAGTTCCAAATTTGACCAACACTCGATGTTCTTCCATCCTCACTTGTCATAACTAGTTACGAAAATCCGCCATATTTGACTGCATAAAAAAACTCAAGCTTTAAAAATAGTGTCAAAATAAATCTATAAATAGGGACAATTATAACCCTTTTACACAGAATATATCAAAATTTATGTTAGATCCATTATAAAAGTATTACTCTCTATATATATATATATATAAAGGCCAACATTCCAAATCCAGCAACACCTAAGAAAGTAGCCAAAATAAAAGGTGTTTATACTAAGTTTACGTTCATAATTGACTCGGTCACCCAATTTGTAGAGGTTGAGTTGACTTCAAAATTTGCAACATGCAATACAAGAGGAGTACTAGTTTCGTGATCATGGTAATTTATTCCTATGGTAGTATAATTTATAGATAATTATGTATGATTCCACTGCAATTTATATATATATATATATATATATATATATATATATATATATCATTTACAGATGTATTGCTATCTTTTTAATTAGGACTTGGTTCATGCAATCTAGGACAATAATTAAGCATATGCACATATAAAAATGAAACAACTTGGCTATTTTTAAAAATTTTGACAGCTAACTGCCATAGACAATTGAAACATGTAGTGAACTAACTATAAGCTGTATAAAATTTTAGAGGGTTAAAAAAAATATTATCAAGAACCAAGGCTAAAAGCAGTTGACTTTACATATATTAAACCATGTTTATATTTTATTTAAAAAGTAATATATTTTGTTGTTTTTAATTTGTGGAAAATTACTAAATTGTAATTGTCATGCAATAGATTATAGTAAGAACTAGAAATAAGAGAGTAAATCATGTCTAACCCCTACTTTCACATAATAAAGATATTAAAAATATACTCAACTATTTTAAAATGTTATTAATTTTGTCATTATAACTTTTGTAATATTTATTAACAACATCTTAATGTTTAGAATATTTGGCTTACTTCAAGTGAGTGATGGACACTCATATTGGCAGCAACCATAGCCGACGACGTATAATACAATTCTCTGACCACGTTGCTGCAGAAAACACTGAAAAGGGGAAAACACATTTATTATTATTTAAGCTTTTTACCATTTTATATATAAAATCAAAACTACGTGCAAATACAAAATAGTGTGAGAAAAAGCTAATTTATGAGCAAGGAAATACATTTTGATGAATTGAATTTAATATTGGATTCAACTGTATATTTTTAAAAATTATACAAAAGTATTAAGTATAAATATTGAGTTTTTTTTTTATATTTTAACTTTATGAAATGACAGCATAAAAAGTATTTGAAACTACAAATTCTTCAAATTAATATTGACTTTTATCAATGATTCCTTTTTTTTTTTTTGTCAATGAACCAATGAAAGTTAAAAGCAGGACCATTAATAAGGGTCCATGAAGGAGGCATGGCCCATGAAAGATAGGACATTTGAAAGTGAAAATGAAAGCATGGTTTCCAAAATGGGTGAAGGAAAGACGAAACGAAGTTTCCTCTGTCCCCATTCACTCACGTGCGATGTGACGTGATGCACAATCGCAAAAGAGGGAAGCACAGAATAAAAAAGCTTAACTGACACGTGGATAAATATTCTAGAAACCGGATTCAGATTATCATTTACCATATACAATTAATTTTAGGTTAAACCCAATTAATAATTTAAATTATAAGAGAAGTGTTAAGCTTTGAAATGAGTATATGATCATGGTGTCGATGATTGCATATTATTTGATGGTGAAGAATTGTCAACAATGCTACATTTTTATCCAATTTTATAACTTTTTTTACTATTCCATCATATCCTTAACTTATTTTTTATCAGAGAGACCTTAGTTTTGACGTCAATTTTAAAGATATTAACATAAGCTATGTAATTTATATATCATAAAAAATGACAAAATGAATTTGAGAATTAGATTCAATGTAACAAAAATCAACATTTTATTTAGGAATTATAATGCTTATATGTAAATTCACAAAATTATTCATATTTTCTAATGAATATCTAAGAAGTTATTTGAATTAGTGAGTAACTATTGGTTAGTATAGTTTCTTTTTAAGTGCTAAATATTTTTTTTAGTTCTAAATTTTAAATATAAAAATCAAATAAAATATATATAAAAAAGAATACAGAGACCAAAATCTTTTTTTATTGGGATACTAAATGGGTTGAAAGGAATATAATGATATATTTATTTGCTATACTCATTATCCATAAAATTTCACATGTTGCTGAAATTCAATTGAAATTTTTTGTATTATAAGGTCCCAATGAAAATGGATGGTCCCAAACATTGAGTTTTTAAGTAAATGACCCAAAATGAATGAGACATACTCAAAAAGAAAATGAATTGCAAAGAAACTAATTTTTCAAAATGGAAGTTATATTATTCTTAATTTTTAATTTCCAAACTTATTATGAGTATAGTTTATAAAAATAAATTTCAGTATCATTTTTGAAAAAAATAAATACAAATTTTGAAAAAAATATTTTAAAAGAATTATTAATAAGATATCAACGTTTGTCAACACATCATATAAATATTTTAATTATTTATTTATTCGGAGAATATCATAAAACTCAAAACTAAGAATACAAAAACATTTTCAGACCTGTAAATTTGGGAACAACTTTCAAAATACTTATGCCAAAGATAATTTCCAAACATATTTGTTATTTTTGTTTTTGAAAAATTAAAGTAATTTCTGAAAACTATAATAAACCGAGCTTAAATTTTTTCGACAGCACTGTTTTACAAAACCTCCAATGCACAGACATCTAATTCAGGACGACGAGATTGAGATTGTTGCAGTTTTAGTTTTGATAAGGAACTAGTTAAAGACATCTGACTCATTTTTTTTTATAACTATATTTTCGTAAACATTTTTAGTACTTAATTTATAAGAAAGTATAAATTGAAAATTAAATACATTTAATGTTTTGAAAACTTTAGGAGAGTCCATAAAAGTATAAAAAGAATCAGACTTATTTGACTTATGTTTGACAAAAAAAAATTATAATAAATGTCGTTGACTTTGAAGACAAACAATAAACAACTTTTTAAAGAAAATCCAAATCTATTATAATAATAATAATAATAATAATAATAATAATAATAGATTAATTAGAGTCCATGAGAACCCAAGACCCATATATATATATATATATATATATATATATATATATATATATATATATATATATATATTTTTTAAACATAGAAAAAGATGTGGAAAGCAAAAAGCCCAAAGGCAGAGAAGACATGGGCTGAATAGAAACTTCAAGCCCTTTTCCAAACAGATGGCTGTGGCTTATATGCCCACAAATGTTATTGCTTATTATTAGTTTTTTAGCTGTGAAATATAATATGCATTTTACTATTTTAGTCTTCATTTTATACGAATAAATATTATTTTATAAAATATAAATCTTTTTAATAGATAAATATAATATATTATATTATGTTAAAAATTCGTAGTTAAAATTTATTTTAATATATATAAATTATATTTTAGATACATGATAAATAATTTAATTGTAAAAAAAATATATTTTTAAATTATTGAAATTTCATTTAGACAAAAAAGTAAAATATGATAGGTAGTTAATTATTAAGTATACAATACAATAAATATAAATAAAAAAATGGTTGCAAGAAATAGTTAAGGATTTTTTTTAATTATGCAGAAGTTATTCCAAATAAACATCTAAATGACCTGAAAACAAAAGATAATGCTGAAAATGTCTAACAGAATGGTGATAGTTAACCTTTTTTTAGTTGTATATTCTAATTTATAATATAAAAATGGACTATTTTTATTTAATAATTTTTTCACAGGATTGAACATTAATTCACTGATTTTGTTGTCCAGATCAAACAGTGTCTTTCAAATTTTGTTAAAACAAATGAAATTCAATACATACACCAAAACTTTTGTATTTTTTTAAAGATTAAAAGAATATAAAAAAACAAGAAAAAAAGAAACATTTCAATATTGAAAAAACAAGCATAAATTACATTTTCTGTGTAATCTTTTCATTTTTTATTCGCGATCCTCAAACTTTTTTTTTTCGATTTAAGTTCTTCAATTGTACAAATTACTTTTTCCATTTTGGTCTAATTTTAATTTTATATACATTATTTTTTTTTCCTTTGAGATAAATGAGTATTTTTTTTTATAACTAACAAAGGAATAGTCATAAGAGGTAAAAAAACAAATGAATACTAATCTCGAAAGCATTTTGAGCCTTTTTTTAGATCAAAATTCTCTATAATATTTTTTAGTAAAAAAAAAACAAGATTTTTTTAAAACTAATATAACTAATTTATCCATAAAAAAAAACCATATTTTGAAAAAATAAATAATAACTTACATGAATAAATTAATTCATGTATAAGTTAATTTCTCTCTACATCCAAATCTCAATTAAGTCTTGATAACTTCTACTTATTGTTTTTAGTGGGCTAACTTATGGACCAGTGGTGGGCCACAAATAAATTTAGCTAAACCTTTGTTAGCTTCTTTGATTAATGGGTCCATTCCATCAAATTTTATCTAATGTGGCAAAATGCTGTTTAGTCTTTTGGTTTTTGACATGAAAACACTTTATAATTCTTCTGCTAAACATATATGAAAAGTTGAACGAAAAAAAAAAAAACTGTGTACGTTTAGTGTAACCGTAAAAGAAACCTTTTTTATTTTATTTATAATCCTTTAAACGAAAGTCACATTCACATTTTCACCCAAAAGTAATGAATGCGAAAGAAGAACCTCCACTGCATGCATATATGACAGTTTAGCATAAGACAATTTGCAACTGTCATAATCTAACAGTTCAAATAAAAATGACTATTCCCCGTCATTGATATTGGTCTCTTGGTATTTAGAACAAGTCAAAGCCTACAATGCTAAAAGTAAATGTCATATAGAAGGTTGAATGTTGAACCAGAGAGCTTTTCAAGGCTTCAATTAGTGAAATTGTTGAGTTAGGAAACATGGAAATAGAAGAATCATGAGTTGGTGTGGTTTCCTTGCTTGCTTCCATTAACATTTTCCAATATCAGCCTAATTGATTTGCATGCTCACATGATTCCCGTTATGCAGTGATTTACAATTGGTTGGCACACACACAACATGAGAACGAGAGCCAACACTTTCCAACCACCACCACAACCAAACCAAGATAATAGATATCCGTTCATTCACGGAACCCAAGTGTTTAAATCTTCTACCCAGTTTTAGGAACTTGCACTTTCACTATGTTATTTTTTTTATAACTTGAAAGCACTTAAAACAGAAGAACAAACAAAAGGGAATAAAGGGGATAATTTTATTCCCTTATCTATAAGAGTTATCGGGCAACATGATATCAACAATTGGCACCTGCCACGTGCAAATTCTTCATTTAACAACTAGGAACTAGCTATAGCCAAAAGACAGTGCTTACTAGAAGACAAAGCAATACAGATGGAAACTTCATCTATCGCTATCTTCTTTATATATAATGCTGGATAGAGAAAAGCAAGGCTTACACTACTCACATGCTTGCCAAAGATTGAAGTCTTTGCCAAGTGGTATATCACACACAGTTCAGAAATGCACACACTGTTATGTTTCTGGAACATTGTCAGACAAAAACTGAGGTAGGTAGGTAGATAGAAATTGAATGAGAAATTAAGAATAACAGTATGTAACTAGTAATTACATTCTTCTTTTTCTTCCATATAATATAATATAATATAATTCTTTACTTCTTTGGTACAATCTGCCATAGCTAATGGCCTAACAGCAATGGCAGAGTATCCTCCCAAGAAAATCTACAACAATCGCTTTTATGGTATCACTTATCACTACACCTGGTTACAATATCAAGATAGAGCTGTGCTACTCTTGTTGAAGGCAAGGCCAATGAAATAAAACAGAAAAGCATATCAATAAGGTGAACACAAATTAGCAAAACTTGTAAGACACTTATGTAAATATACAGTTAAAAAAGGGTGAAGAAAAAAGAAAAAAGAATTACATTCACGAGTGCCAGATCCCACTCAACATACTGCGGAACCGGCTTGTTGATAGCTTCTTCACAAGTCTTCTGGCATCAGAAGAAACTTCGGCGTCCGCAAGTTTTTCTATGTTTTTGGCATATCCGGAACTGACAATCTTTTTCCTCCCACTAGTGCAACTCGTTAAGGACATTAATATGGAGATTAAGAACTTTTTATTACCAGAATTCCCCTCCTGTGGATCAAGCAATTGCAGAAGAAGGGAAATATTATGGTCATCCTGCACGAATCTCTTTCTGTTTCGAGGCACCATAACCATGCCAGAGAGTGCCTCAGCTGCCATTTCTCGAACCTCAAATGACTTTGCGTTGAGAAACTTAACAAACTCTGCCATAAACCCTGCATCCCCCATTGCTTTCTTAGCCTCCTCAGATGTTCCACACAACCTAAACGACACTTTCAATGCCAATTCCTGAATCGAAACCTCCCCATTTCGAATATAATATGCCAACTGATCCACAAAGCCATAACTCATCAAAATACCCACAGAACTAGGTGAACAAAAACACAAATCCTCGACAGCCCTCATTGCTACCTCCCTGGTTTTACACGAATAAGACCACTTAGGATCCAAAACACGCAACAAAGCACGAATCCCTCCCTCTTTGATCACCATCTGCCTAACCAACTCATCCCCAGAGGCAATACTCAAAATAAACCCAATCGAATTCACCTGAATCGCTTCATCCTTGGACCTCACAAGCCTAATGAAAGTTAACACGACACCCTCATCAACCATAAACCTCTTTATCTCCGCAACACCGACGAGATTCCTTAACACCCCACAAGCAGGTCCAACCAAATCACCGCTACAATCAGCAGCACCACAAATCTTCAACAACACACTAACCCCTCCCTGAGCCGAAACACACCAAGCATTGTCCGAATTTTCAGTCAACTTCACCAGACACCTCGCAGCCGCAACCTTCCCCAAATCACTCCCACAATCCAGAACCTTAATCAAAGGAGCAATCACCCCCGCACCAACCAAAACCCCTTTATAAGAATCAAATCCTGCAACCACAGAAACAACCTTGGCACTCTCCTCCTGGATTTCCACCTCATTAGAACCCAAAAATCCCACCAACAAATGAACCACGTCTCCCACGTCAACAATCACCTTCACATACTTCTCCTCCTCCAATACAACTTCTAGAAGGTTCCGCAACGCTTGTCGTTTCATCCCCAAATCTCCAATCTTCATCCTTGTCGTTAAGTCCCTCACGTAGAACCTCATGTCCTCTTTCGAAGCGCCAAGACTCGGCTTTGACACAACGAGCGCGAACCCATTTGTTAAAATCCCCGTTTTGTATATCTCAGAGAGCTTCCTCGTGTGCGCATCGAGCTTCGCGAACGCCACGTCCAAATCACTCTGCATCAGAAGCTTCCCGCTGTAGGAAACATCGACGCAGCGCCGACACAGATCGTAACACTCCGTCGCGGTGGCCTCCACCGCCGCCACCAGCCGCGAAAACGACGGGCTCTCGCCGGAGTCACAGTTCTCGGCAGCGACTAAACCGCCGTGAAGCTCCTCCAGCTTGTTACGAATGAGTTGCCATTTTCCGGCGAAGACACGAATCGAGTGCGAGAGAGAGAGCACGGCAAGGATGAGCTCCACCACTCGCCGGAGACCCGAAGCCCCGGCCATTTCTTCTCCATCACCCATTTTTGTTAATCCTCAGTGGGTTTTCAGAAACCCCATTTCCCAAAGGAATATTTCGGCCAAACACGTTACTGAGTTCGGAATCTAAGTAACCAACGATCTTATGATATCAAACCAAAGAGAAAGGAAGAAAGAAAGAAAGAGAGAGGAAGTTTCACTGTAACACTGTTCTTGCAGATCTATGCTTATCCTTAGATTGCAGTTGATACAGAACAGGTCCAATTGGACTTTATGATATGAATTGACGGAAATACCCTTCTGAAACTGCTTTTGTTTATGTAGTGTTAATGTGCAATTGTGACATTGCAGTTGATACAGTGTTGGGAAGTTAGAGGTGTGTTGAAGGGAGACAAGAGAGGCCCAGAGAGGTTGTGTGTAGGAGTGGCTATTTAGACGGAATCATATCGGTGGTAGTTCATGTTTCTAAACATAGTTTTGTCCGTATATACAATCAAAAAATTTATAATACTTCAACATAGGACAAACAAAAGGTGAGGTAGAAGCAAGGCATGAATTACAGAACTTGGTATATTTTAATTAGCATCAGTTATTATGGTTAACTGTTACTTTGTTTTAGCAGAAGCCATAGCCCATAGGTTTGCCGCAGAAACTAATCATCCATTTTTCCTTTTACCTTCTTTAATGAAAAGTTTCACATAATTAATGCACTCTAAATCATTGTATTATACCATTCAAACTGAAACTTCTTGAGTTTGTGTTCAAAGTTCGACAAGTTTTTTGAGTTCTGATCTCGATTCAAACCTGGGGTAGGGGTGGAGGGGTCAAGAAATTGGTTATGAAATCTTTAGTAATTGGACTAATTACCTTAAATATTGAGTAATAAGTAGGAAATTACAAATTAGCAATAATGAACCAAAATCTTAATGGTGTGTGTATTCATGCTCATAAGCTTCGTTAACCATTATTAAAAAGTGGTTCTTCTCTTTTTCAATTCGTGGACCCGGCATAATAAACATGATGCAATTTCAACTTTGGGTACACTAAATTAAACACAACGTCAACAATATAAATTAATCAACCAACTTTTCAGTTTGGCTTACGAGTCCAATTAATGGGATTTTGGAGGCGGGCCCTAGCATTATCTTGCAATTGATTAGATTCACAATAGTTAGCAATTCACAATTTCAACACTACTTAAAAACAACATCATAATTTTAAAAAATGTCCAAGGCATTGAATTTTCATTCAAACATGATGCATAACTAAAGTCTGCCCCTTCCTACCTTATATTCATTCCTCTGATTTATTTCCCATTAACAAGTATGTATGACTTTTTATTAGCTTATGATTTGTGCTCATTTTTTCTTGAAAACCGCAAGATTTCTAACAATTTGGATAACATTTTAGTTGCTTGACTTTAAGTAAACAAGTACAAGGTTTACTCTTTTTCTATCTAACTCCACAGTTCATATCATATCATAATCCAACACCATATTCAAATTTCTTTTACTGCGTTTTTCCCAGAAAATTGATGAGTAAATGTGAAGTATAATGTTTGTATTTCCTGTCGTTTTATTGCTAGCAACTGGGCAACTGCAAATGGATTTGAGGCCCCTAGAGAATAAGCAATGAGAGAGCTATAAGAATCTTGTTTAAGGTGCAGTTGATAGTAAATAAGAGCAAAAGCTAAGTCAGAGGGGTGAATCAGTACTGAGAGAGTAGATGAAAGTGCAGATGGACCACAGCTTAATGAGGACAGGGCTTTAATTACGTGAACAGAATAAAAGGTGGTAGCTTTCAATGCCCTTGGAATGGAAATGACACGGCCACATTTGACACACCCCACCATGTGAAACCCTTTGTTGGATGCCTTGAGCAAGCAGTGACCTTTTTGAATATGAAGTGGGGAGTGAATCACATAACTAATTGAGAGAAAGTTGCTTTCTTTTCCAACACTTTATGTGGCTTCTAAACATATTGTAAAGAAGAGTCTTACAAAAGCCAATAAGGGGAACAGCTACCATACATGCAATTCCATATTGCAATCAAATCTTACCCACACGATCACCTCCAATCAAATGGTGCATATAAATCTCAAAAAGTGTGCATAGTTTCGAGACACAAAAGAGGGTTCACGAGAAACCATGAATAAAAGTAATAGCCACAACTCAGGCTCAAAGCAAAAGAGTAAAGCTGTCCCTTGTCATGACAAGCCCGACTAAAAGCATTAAAATATTGACCATCCCTACGTAGAATAAGAACTTTCCCAGAATTTATGGGGCTGTGTTGGGGAAAACAAGAATGGTACAGAGGATAAATCAGATACTAATACTAAGGCAAAACAAAATCGAATGACCCATCATGTCAATTTATGTTTACTTGTTTACAAACACTGTTAGGTTAAAGGTCAAAATATCATTATTCTGCTGGTCACGGACTTTTTATCTTATGCAGTAATTCAAAATAGTTCACTTGGTTGTTTTACAAAGCTAAGTAATTACATTTGTGATCATAGGACCAACGTGCTGGTTGAGCCAAAACCATTCATTGGAAACTACTCCATTAATTTATATAATGCTTCCTCTAGTTTATAATTGCAATTTGTAATCTGCAATTAGCACACATGCCTCAATTCAGGGGTCAGCATCCCCCATCTTGCATGTATGTCACTCCATTAATGGAAGCATGTGGCATCTTTTGCTCCAATATTGTTGTTTTGTTAATATGTGAACTCCTACTTAAGTTACATTCAATCAAACTAAATGGATCTAGATGTAATTCAATTTTAGCTCCCCACTCCACTTTAAGTTGTAATCATGAACACTTTCATAAGTTTTGTCTCAAACCTACTGTGCAGTGAAAAGGGGTTACTGCCAACCTTCTCCATTTGAGTCAAAAAGCACAGTGCAATTTTTTTCCTCTGTCTTTATAACATGTTAGGTGTAAAATGCCATTCATATGCTAAAGCCATACCATGGTGGTGCCTTTGAGTGGGGAAGAAGCGAAATTCTAGACAGTAGAAAAGTCTGAAAATGTCTTAGCTTTCAAGAGAAAAGTAGGTATAAAATAAATAATGTCTTCATGTTCATCAACTATATTCAGGGCCAACATGAGTTCTAAATCCTAACCAATATAACAAATGGGAAACAGCAATACTACACAAGGAACAATATGTCAATAATCATTCCGCGTATCATGGAACATGGATTATACAAAAATACGTTAATTATTATCATTATGAATCTGTTTTAGGGTTCAAGCAATCGAATTTGGTTTGAAGGAAACGCCAATGATTTGTAATAAAACTTAAATGACTTTTCTTAAGGATGTTGATCAAAGCTTTATAATTTGAGCGCAATTCCCTATTTCTTTTGTCATGTGATAGCGTAAGTCTGTTATCTCTTCGCCATTACAGTTTCTGTACCCCATCACTTTCGACCATTCAATATTTTAGGGATTGGAGAACAATTATGAGGGAATGAAGCATACAACTTTGTTGATAGCAACATTCTTTAAATCCAATAACGGAAAATTTTGCAAAATTCTCCCTGAAAAATTAAACAGAGACAATAACAACCTCATCATTTCCTACTTTATTTTTCCTTACATAAAGCCTACAGTTGTAAGTAACAAGCTTTCATATGCATAATCTAAGCAAAATAACTAGCTTTTTAACATTTCAACTAGAAAACCAAAATATACCACTTATGTGCCTTAATCCCCAGATTAATCAACATACAAATTTTCATATTTTACTCCATAAAGTTTGTTATCTTCTAATTCCATTGTACCAAGCATTATAGAGAGAAAATTTGACTAAACTATTTCAACAATTTTGCTCAACACTTCTGAAATATACACGGCTAGTAATAGATTAGTGTTTTAGGTATAAAATTGAGATGAGTGCTTGTCATAATGATATAGCAATTTGAAAGATTTTGAAAGTTTCTGTTCTATCACTTTCACATGGACCATTCACAAGTTACATACTTCTAACAATTCAATTAGAAAAATAAATTCTATTGTCCACTTCAATCCGCAATTATCAAAATGACAATGCATTTTCATACTTTAATTGCTCAAGTTTTGTCACTGGTAATTAATCTGTACTAAACATCGCTGAGACAAATTAATGCTGACTAAACTGATTTAAGAATTTTGACTCCATACTACTATAGAGAGTAGAGGTTCAAATCCTTAATTTTTTTTTCAGTGAATCCAGTTCAAATTTAAGTCTAAAATTATTGAGATCATCAGAGTCTTAATTAATTTTGATATGGCATATAATTTATCAATTAAAAAGTTGAAATCTATGTCAGATAAAAACTGTTCAGAATCATACACATGTAATGGATGAAAACTATATAATGATTTATGATGAATAACAAAGGTGGTATTTGAATAATTTATCATCACTGTCATTTTAGCTAAAAGAACAATTAGAAAGGAGCCTTTTTCTATTTTTTTTTTCTGGTTGATTTATTTGCCCTATTTTGGCATATGCGTGAAGCAAGCATGATGTCCAACCACTAAAGCTGAAAAATATTGAGTCGATTGGAAGAGCAGAATGTGATTGAGACCCTTTTCCTTTTTACTATCTTGACCAATTCCCTTGCTTTGATTATGGCTATGAGTATGGACTAGCTTCAGTGTTTGATTTTACTACTTATACTGCAAGAAAACGATGTGCCTTGGAGATCATGCATTGGTCCTTCTGCATAACCCTAATCTTCATCAGGGGATACCTTACCAGAACTTTGCAAACATGTCATAATTCACAGAAAAAGTTCTTTGCACAAAACTTACTTTGTTAAAGATATTACAGAAATAAAATATTGATTTGGCCTCTGAAAATATATAGTGGTTCTAATTTAGTTTAATAAACTAAAAAAACATATATTGGTTTAATCACTCGTATCTAAAAAGGATAATACTCTCCTAAATAAACTTATCCATGAAATATATAGATAAAAGTATATTTACTTTTAATTTAATTTAATTAACAAACAATAGGACTCTCCTGTAGTCTATAAAATATGTAAATAAAAGTAACAGGTTCCTTTAATTTAATTTAAAATATATAACAGTTCATTAAATTATAAAAAAAAAAAAAATCATCTTGCTAAAGATATCTCCATCAATTTATTATAGATAATTAATTGATGCATGATGAAATACAAATATGTATAGAAAACAAAAAAACCTAAAAAATAGACCTCTTACCAAACATCACTTTGAAGTTATTATAGCCTTATATTGGAGTTGGAGAATGGGACTTGTGAAGTGATAAATATGGGGCCAGACCAGAGAATCAACTAAATGAACACCACCTGTATGCACTAAGCATCACAAGTAATCATTTTATAAAAAGTGGTTCAATCAATAAATAGTGATTAGTATGTATTTGTAGTATATATTTGGCATGGGAATACATACATGAATTACCAGCAATACACTTGGGGAAGAGTTTTATTCTCATGAGATTGAAAATAAAAGACCATTGTTGACAAAAGGTTAACATGTTAATTTGCTGCTGTCAAAATCTACTTTTTTGCTCCTGTTGGTCTAGAAAAAATATTCTTAAATTTTTGCATACAGAGGAGGAGTGTTACTTTCACAAACTGAACCATAAAAGTTTTTTCTTTTGCAGAGGTTGTATATTTTCAGCCTTTCTTGACCAATTCACAAGTCAGAAAGATTGCTTTTCTTCAGGTGTTAGAAAATTTTAAAATAAGCTAAAATATAATAAAAATCCTCTATTATTAATATAATTTATTAATTACGAGATTATATATAATTTCTGTATAATGACAACTAATTTTATAAAAAGTATATATCTCTTACATTAGTAATACAGTTATTATTGTATCAAACACAAAAATCTTAAAAATAAAATATTTTCTTATATATCAAATTTATATTTAAAACATATTTACACTAATTTTATCATTTCATTATTAATTTGGAAGTTGAATTATTTTGTAGGTAGTTTCGCTAGGAAATTTTATGATTTCATGATTATTAAAATATTTATGGAATTCGTGTAAGTATACTCGGGTCTACTTTATATATATTTATTATATATAGTGATAATAAGATGAACCTTTGATGGAAATTTTGGATATATTTATTATAGTGATAATCAAGATTTGATATCTCAATTCGAACAAGTCCTTACATATGATTACATTAACATTGAAAACATGTTCATTTGGTAACATCCTAAACAAAATTGCCCCTATCAAAATGGATGATTTAAGAACAAGATAACATGCTACATCAGCATAGAAAAACATGTTGAGCTTAGAAAATAATTATTGACATAGATTCTCTCTTCAAAAATAAAATGATGAATGGAGTTTTGACAAGTTGAAACCTTAACAATATCATAAATTATTATGAAATTAACATGTTTCTATTAAAAGATCCATGGTACTAATTCATGGATGATGACTTTGTCGTAATAGATCCACATCAAGATGACATGTAATCATAAGATACATATGACAAAGTAAACAAGAAAAAAAAGTTGTAATTGATCAAGAAAACTCGACTAATATTTTATATATCATATGGAAACATTTAGTTGGATTTGCAAGAGAAAATATAAATAAAAAAATATGTTGATCTTCCCATCACTTTTAGTGAAACCCCTAATAATAAATAGTTTTAATTAGTCTAAGTGTTCATCTTATATATGACACTAAAGTTTCTTTAGTTATTAGGATAAATTATTTATGCCAATAACATAACAATTAAAAAATGTTATGGAAAAAGTTTAAAAATCATCATCATTCTCTTTTAAAAGGACAAAATACTACAATTTCCAAATATAAAAGTAAAAAAAAGAAAGAAAATATTAAAATGAACATTTTCTAATTTCATATATCATAATAGATCCAGCCTGAACTTAATTTATAATTTATTTATATTCATTAATTATATTTATAATTTATTTTAATAAATAAATGTATTCTTTAAGAAAACACATTTTTTTTAAATAAACATAGTCTTTCCATAACACATATATTATGAGTTTTGATAAAAAAAAAATACACTTCTAAATCAGCTCATAATTGTTTACGAAGAGATAAACCATTAAAAAAGTACACATCTTTTACAAATACAAATACTTTCACAAAATACTATAATATAATATTTTATAATTACATTACATTTAAGCATATCTCACAAAGCAAAGTACATTATTCCAAATAGCATTTGAAACCACGCTTCCTTGGATAACATTTGTGACCGAATGTATGATCATCAAAAAAAGGAACGAGGCCACATTCTGATATGATTATAAAGCAATGGGCACATTACCAAACATTTATCTTATTCTGTGTTTTCTTCCCTTTTCTTAAATTATTATTTCCGTAGGACAATGTTTATATATTATTTGATGGTTAATATTTTAAATAAATTTCATAATACTTGTGCAGTAACAGTAGAAAGTAGATATTTTGCATGATTAATGGCCCAGTGCAATTAAACGTAAATTTTGGTTTAACAGCCATTTGTGCGTCGTGTTCCTTCTTACAAGGTAATCTTATTTTACAAAAAACGATCAAACTCAACCCTTCTAACTGTCACTACAGGCCCAGTTATGCTTTGGAGTCGTTTTGGGCTGACCATTTTAAATACAACCCTACTATTTACACTCCCTTTTGCTAAATTCGCTCCCCTTTTATTTAAAATCACGTATCCATCTTTATTTCCGTTTCGTTTCACGTTTTCTACTTTTTCGACTGTTACGAAAATAAATTTTTGTTTTAGAAAATACTTTTCAAAATGTTAATAAAAAAAAATGTTACGAAAAGTACATTCTAAAATGTGTTTTAGAAAGTTCTTTCCGGAACACTCTTTATTACTATCTAAAAAGTACACTCGGAAACATTTATTTTTGGTTTTCATGTTTCGAAAAATACTTTATGAGATGTTAAGAAAATCAGAGTGTATTTTTTAAAATACATTCTGAAATGTAAAGAGTGTTCAAAATTAATTACTATAAGACTCTATTTTCTTGTACATTTTCATTATAAGAACAGTATTATTAAAACTCAACTAATCGATCTCATAGGTTCAATAAAAAAATCCGAACTGAGAAATCCAATCATCTTATATAACAAGATTTTTTTTTAAAATATTAAAATTAAATTACTTATTTATTTCATATAATATATAAGGATCTCTATGTTTACAAAATTTAAATAATAAACCAATTGAAGATCAGGTTAAATTTGATGAAACTGACAAAGGAAATTGTAGATAGGTTATTCAGTTATGCACGGTTACTATGAAGGTTTGTAAAGAAGTTCATGATGAATAAAAACGTTATCAAGCATCCATGAAAATGCAAACCATATGAAATGTAACTTTAATAGTTGATGTTAGACATTGTTAGGAGATTATTTGTGCAGGTGAGACACTGGAAAATGTATATATAATAATAATAATAATAATGAATATATATATATATATATATATATATATATATATATATATATACCTTGTACAAAAATTATTAAAATAAATTTATTTAAAAATCAAAATCCAAATAAATTTATCTGTATGTCAATAAAAATGCTGCTGCAATTTATCCAATAAAACACGAGCCCACTTTCTGTTAATCTCATTTATTGCCATGATTTCCGCCATTTTCAGATGGGAATGTTACATTTTCTTGGATACATATTACAATCAGAACAAAATAATGTCTTCAATAAGCAGCAAAATAGCACAGATAAGTACAGACTTCCGCCATGATCCTCTGAAATTATAGAACTTTCTGTCTTTAATTAATGCCATGTTTTGCACGCATATGGATATTGGTCACAGTAATTGCTCAGGGACCAGTAAATTAAGCTCACATTTGTTGTGACTTCCTGAATAGTTTCATTATTTCTATCGGTGGGTCCAGCTAGTATCATTTGCAATTATAGGATGTGAAAATAAGCTGGATTTATGATGTACCAAGAGAAAAAAATCAAGCATTGGAAACATGATTGAAGTTTGAATCATGCAGAATCTCCCTTTAATTCCTCCCACCTTACATATTATTAAGTCTCCAATATCAGTAAGGGTTTCGGCATCTGTGAGTGGAGGTAACCAAAGGCTGCACATCAAAACGATTTAACACAAGTGTTAGTAGAAAATACAACTGAGTCATGAAGGTTCAATATTCCAATGTAGCGACCGCATAAATTTTAGAAGTAAAAGACACTACTTTCTATTAGCTGTGGATTGATCATACAAAGCTATCAAGTAATGCAGTTGGTTAAGCAATGATGCCTAACAGACACTGGTGATCAACTCATATAAGCATATATCTATATACACCAAAGCAGCTGACAAAAAAAAAAGTTACAGTGCAACAAGACACCAAGGACATTCTTTTAATCATATTCTAGAGATAAAAAAAAATAGGTTTCTGATTCTAATTAAGACGGGTAGCTGTCAGTTTCCATGCATGTATCAATGTAAGAGCAAGGTTGTCTGGAATTGATAGAGAGATTATTACCAAGGACATTTTGAGCTTCAAAGTAGGAGTAGAGATGGCATTTCAGAGAGTGAGAACAAAAGGAGGGGCATCCCTTCTTGGCCCAGCAACAGAACGATAAACATAAACTTTTTTAGCATGTTGAGTGTCATAGCTTTCTTCCTTTATGACTTCAACATTCAACCTAGGCTTTTGCTTGGCCAACAATCTAACCCCATTCATGGTTACTTCACAGTCTGACATCCACAGCGACCTCATTGACTCGTACTTCCCCAAACCTGCCAGAAGAGCTCCGTTGCCAAATGGACAGTCCCTTACCTCAAGTTTCCTCAGCTTTGGACAGCCGTCCAACACACAGCGCATGCCCCAATCACTGCTTCCAGCAAAAGCCACGGAAAGAGTTTCCAAGTTTTTTGCATATTTGCCTATGTACTCAAAAGTTGAGTCAGTCAAATAACCTGATACTGCTAGCCTCTGGAGTTTAGTGCAATTCTTAACAACAGCTCCAAAGGCCTCGTCCATGGGTTCTTGTGTCAAGTAATCTGGCTCACCAGGGTGCATGATGCACAGTCGAAAATGAGTAAAGTCAGGACAGTTTTGTACAACAGTAGCAACAGCAGCATTGGTCATTTGACGGCAAAAGTAGAGAACATAGTGAAGTCTAGGACACCCTTGAGAGACTGCAATAAACCCTGATTCAGTAACCCCATGAACAATGCCCTCATCAAAGGGATCTGCAGGAAAAACACGCAGTTCCTCAAGCAATGGACAGTGTGATCCAACAGCTTCTAGCCCCTTGTCCTCAACTGTGTCCACAACCTGTGTCAGTTATTTAATGAGTAAGGTACATGTTCCAATACATTTTCATTGGCTGGAAAAGGAAATTTCATAAATGTCTGCTACCCCATGCACCATCAACTTGTAATCACAACCATGCTAAATTCAACATGCATATGCACAATCTGACAAATATCTATTTGGATTTTAGTACTTAGAACTATCAACGCTTATTTGTTTTTAAGTTAAATATTAAATGGTTCCTAAAATATCATTACAAATTTAGGGAGAGAAAGTGAATATTCTTTCCAAATATTTATGAGTCTAGATTTGTTCATAGATGGTAATCATGTGAACCATGTGGGAGAAAGAAAAAATTTCAATTCTACCTAATGCTTGAACTAAAACTTAAACATGTGGGCTTCTGTTTGTGGAAACTTCAATGTCAATGTAACCATGCAATGAAGAACACAATGAAAAGTCATACCCAGAGGCGCTGAAGCTTAGGGCAGTGAACAAGAAGCTTAGCAAGATCATCACTGTTAAGAGGAGCATAACTAAAATTCAAGAAAGTTAGATTTGTGCAAGCAGAGTACAGAACTGGGAGATATTGTGCTGTAGCTACCCATAACCCTGAAAGGGTGTGAAGATTTTTACAATTTTTAAATGCACTTCCAAGCTCTGAGGACTGCTGTGCTGTCAACTCTTGTGAGAATGAGCCAGTACCAAGCTCACCTAACTGAGGAGCATGAACAAGAAGCCTTTGTAACTGTTCCAGAGTTACACTTTTGTTAACCTTCAAGGTCTTTAATGATTTGCACCTACTGACAAGTTTCTCAAGTGCATCAAAATTTACATCGTTGTGAAGATTGGCAAAGTTCAATACTTCCAATGATGTGAAGCTTTCAGGAAAACAACTCAACCAATTGCCACTCTTATCTTCAATACCATTCTCTTGTATGTCGAGTTCAGTTAAATTCCTGCATTCATGCAGAATGAAGAGGATTATCTATTGGTCAAAGGAAAGAGTGAGCTAAGAACTCCATCATAATGAAAACAATACCTCGATAATGCAGTACCATGAGTTTAGATTATGAAATCCGTAACAAAGATTATAAAGCTACCAAAAAGATATAGTTTTAATTAAGGCAATCAACAATTTTCACACTGTTTATGCTTCCAGTTATAAATTTATTCTACTTGCACAGATCCCTTGCTAACATATTTACACTTATGGTTAAACGTCTGAACATAGAATTTGAAGAATGCCCTATTACTTGATAATATATGTAACAGTGCAAACTCAAATTCTGCAGAGCATTTTACAATTGCACTGTATTTTTTTTTTTTTTCAATGCAAAAAGTAATTATTTACTTAACACTCAGAGAACACAGGCGATGTCCACATGATGCATAAGTGAATTCCAATAAACTAATCTATGAATTAATGGGAAATTCCCATTCCTGAACATGCATTACAGAATTTCTCATAGTGAAATAGTCATATCAACTTTTCTCCAACTAAAGAATAAATAGCATCTCAGGCATACAATTACAACCAATCTTAGCAAAAGTCTATGCTCATACTGGGCAGCATAAATGAGAAGGCCACCTTCTAGAGAAATAAAAGTCCATCGATTCCCTGTGTCTTACCTGCCTTTTTTTATGGTATAAATAAGGAATATTACCATGCTACCACTCAATTGATGCTCAAATGTTAATTTCGTCATACAAAAAAGAAGTGGCCCTCATAAAAAACAGTTCTGTAGAGGGATTCTGTTTCCACTGGCAACAAAATTCACAAACATCTCACCACTAAATTTTCGTAACAAAGCACAACAGATGAAAATGTCAAACAAGAAGGCAATTACGACGAAAAAAACTAAAAAAAAAATGAATCAATTAAAGGGCAGTAAAAACTTGCAGGCGTAAACTTAGAGTAAATAGCTTGAATAGCCTGACATATTATTAGAATTGTTTAAAAGAGCCAATCTAATCTGGGGAATCAAGTCAAATTTTTAAAACTGTTAAAAAGTAAACCAAAGAATTAACTGAATTGCATCATCCAAAAGTTAAAAGCAGAGATCTCATATCAAAACAGTATCATCAGATGGATAGAAAGTGATAAGAGAAACAAAAGCATTGACAGAAAACATGCCAACTCCACCAGTGATTCATTACAAGAACACTATTATCTCCAGCAAACCAAGCAAACCATGTATGTTACAAACTAAAGTATAATTATAATCCTTTAAGAATCACCAATTCATCTCACCAGATGGGTACAAAGTGATAAGAGAAACACAAGCATTAACAGAAAAGATGCCAACTCCACCAGTGATTCATTACAAGACCACCATTCTCTCCAGGAAACCAATCAAACCATGTATATTACAAACTAAAGATTAACAATAGCCAAGAGTATAATTAAAATCCTTAAAGAATAAAAAATTCATTGCATTTTCTGGATAGGACCCAAAATCACACAAGAGTTTAAAGACAAATGATTCTTACTTGCAATTAGTGGCAATTGAAGCCAGCCCATCGGTGCTGAATCCGTCACAACTGAGAAGGGAAAGGGCCTTGAAATTGGGGAATGAGAGAGCCAGAAACTCCAAGCTCTCATCAGTAACAGTCATCCTCTTGAGCCTCAACTCTTCGAGCCAAGGGTACTTCTCAGCAAACACCACCAGCCAATAATGAATATTAGCACCCCAATTTGCAGGAACCAAGTTGAAGTCAGAAAAACGAGGTTTCCCTTTCAGTGTGACACTTCGAATGTTTGGGAACCTGCGAGTTAGAATCTCAGGAGACACAGAATAGCAGTTACCTATGAACACACTCCTCCTTGACCATCTCTCAGCGTTGTACCACTCTTTGCAAACCAAAGAAACCGAGCTTTTGTCCTTCCGAGACTTTAACATCCCGAGAATTCTCTCCAACACCTCATCAGGAAAAGTGGAGTTTGATTTTGGATTCTCCTTCTTTCTCCTACACTCCATCTTCAAAGAAAAAACAAAAAAAAAAAAAGAGCCAAAATTTCAAGCACCCTTATGGATCAACTATGAGATTTGTAAGCGACCACCTTGTCAAATTATCGGAAAGCGAACGAATGAAAAAAGAAGACTCGAACAAAGTGAAATTAGGGTGCAGAAAAAGAAAAAGGTACAAGGAAAAGGGTTTGCAGAGAGAAGCAAATTGTGAATGACAAAAAAATAATTTCCAAAAAAAGGTAAAGCAGTGAAAGAAAAGAAAGAAATTTGCTAGGTGAACTCTCCCAAGTTGAAAACCTGCTGCTATGTACCCTTCACGCTTTGACTACAAAGGTACCTGCTTTCAGCCATGTTTTCTCTTAGAACACAAGGAAAACACAGAATTTAAGGGGATTCAGAACTGAAATAAAAATTCGGACACCCAAAAGGGCATGTTGGAATCTGAGATCCGTTAAGAGGTGGAAGAAGATCCAGAAGCTATAAATTTATATGGGTGTATGTGAGAGGAAGAAGGAGTGAGAAAATATTAGGGTCACTGAAAATTGGGATCTTTTCCCCTGAACCCAAGCTCTCAAATCACTTTTACCTTGTGATGAGTGATGAGGCCAACGACCACAGGCATTGGTCACCCATGGCGTATTATAGCAAAAGGAGAGGATCAGAAAAAGACCCAAGAAATAAACTTTTTATCTTGGAAGAAGATTGGTTGCAATCAGGAAGAAGATAGAGAGAGAATGTAAAAAGATAAGAGGAAAGTGATTGAATTAGTTAGAACTGTAATAAAATAGAGATAAAAAAACAGAAACCTACTAAAGATGTTTTTACTGTTGAGTGTGGGGTTAATTTATGGTAATAAATTTTGCTTACTGGGAAAGAGTAATATTTGGTGTTAGATTTATATTCAGTGTTGTCATTGTAAAGATGTTAGAAAGTTCCCTCATTAATCTCAATAACTAATGTATGTTTTTTTTTTTTAAGAGTTTTAATAATTAAATTTCTATTAATAATTAAGAAAGCATTTTAACCAAATCCATTGGTAAAGCATGATTTTATTTTATTTTTTATTTATTAGTTTGAGAAATGAATATATTTTAATAAAATAATTTATTATATCAATATCTATAATTTAGTTGAAGTGTATTAATTGTTTCAAAAAATGTACATTACCGTTAAATAAATAAATATATATATATATATATATATATTAGTTCTTATAATAATTTTAAAAATTACACTACATCAAATTTATTAAATATTAACTATTTCTAAAAAGTATTTAGTCATTATATTAAATAAAATAAAAACTATTTTAACTACATTAATTTATGAATTAAAATTTAGATTAATATCTGATTTTAATTATTGATTTTTAGTTATTAATTAAAAATTATATTAAATTAAAATATAATTTAAAATTAATAGCTAAAATCTCAATAATTATTATTAAAAATCAGTTTAAGTTCTAATTTATAAATTAATCTAGTTAAAAGAATTTTTAATTTAATTAATACACTAACTAAATAAGTTTGTTTTAAATTAATAATTTTATAATAATATTATAATTTTACAGATTAAATCATATTTTCTTTTAGAGCTCGCATGTATAATCATCCATAAGAAACAACTTAATAAACATAAATTATTATTATGAACCAAACTTAAGTTATTAATGTACTTGGTAATATATATCAATAGATGAAAAAAAACTAAATGATTGGTAAAGCTAATTGAATTGAAAATTTAGAAACTAAATTATCTAAAAATTTATAAGCTGATTTATTGAATTGAAAATGTTTAGTATTAGAAAAAAAAAAACTCAGGCTACAAATAAAAATAAATAAATAACTACTAACTTGTAGTAACTTTAATAAATTAATGGAAATAACTTATAAAAATGAATAAACTAGTCAAACGAATTTGTAAAGAAGTGATCAACAATCTAATCACACTTCCAGAATTTTTTTAAGACTTAGTTAATTGATTGAAATCTCTAATTAGTTTTTGATTAATGATTGTGAAAGTATTTTAGCTAAATTCATTCACAAACCGGATTTTTTGTATCCCTCCCTTTTTATTTATTTATTGTTTTTAATAAATTAATTTAAAGATTTAATTGAAATGTATTCATTATTAGAAAAATACTTTGTTAAAAAAAGAACAAATGTGATCATTTTATTAACTTTTATACTGGTTTAAAAACTTGTATTAAAAATGGTGTCTTTGTTGATCATAATTTTCTTTTTGTTGAGACTGCATGTTTCATCTACAAAAAGTATTTACACTCAAGTTAAGTATAATTATTATGAGAAACATTTTTTTTCCAGTTTTAATTGAATTCTATATTTTGAACTCCAACCCAATATTACTAGTAAAGTCAAAACATTTTGATATTTCTTATTATTGAAAATAACAATAAATAGACACAGGTTTTTTTTAAATATAAAATTGAAAATAAATACTAATTCATAAAAATATTATTATATAATAATACTTACTAAAAATTTTAAATATTTATTTAATAGCAATTTTTTAATAATGTGATTAATATTTCTAAAATCGGATTAAACACTTAACTAGCGAAAAAATTATTAAAGATTCAAATGTAATAGCTCTAACTAAATTTAATAAAATAATATTTTTATAATATAATAAATATATAATAAATTTATTAATAATAATGCTTTTAAAATAATAATATTTTAAATTATAATAAAAATTAATTAAATAAAATATATTATATTTTTTATTAAAAATAATATTAAAAATTTGATTTTAATTTTTTTTATAAATAATTTGATCCAAAGTCCAATTATCTATTTTTTTAATGTTTTATTTTAATTTAATTAAAATTCAATTATTTTAAAATAAAAGACCAAAACTAGTTATCCATAAAGACTGATTCGATTTTCAAAATAGATTATTACAAACAATTTTTTATTAAATTTATAAATAATTATTTTTTGACATATATTTCAATCTCACTTAATAAATTAAAGTTTATTTTATAAAAATCTTGTTAGGTATCAGACTACTTGCACAAGAACTCAACTCTTCTCTAGTCCTAAGAATGACAACACTTTCTAATACTTAGAGAAGGAAAGAAATTTTTGGATGTTGAAATAAGGAGGGAGAGGCTCCTTTTATAAGAGGGAGGAGAGCCCCCCAATTGAAGTTCCCACCGATGTGGGACTTCTTTCTTCACAATCTCCCACTTGAAGATTTTGATGAAATTAATCAAATCTTCACACTATGTCTTCTTCTCTCACATCCATGTTGCTTATGCTTTCGATAGGCCATGAGGGATCGACTCCGTATAAACTTGTCGACATTAATCGGCTTTATCATTACATCTCGCTAGGTTCTTCTCGATGTGGATCTTCCGTAAATCTACACTTCCTTCTTCTACTACTTCTCGAACAAAATGATATCTTATTCCTATGTGTTTTGTCCTCGAATGAAAGGTCTGGATTCCTTGCAATGTGTAAGGCACTTTGACTATCACAAGTACACAACAATTTGTTGTTGCTTGTGACCAAGTTCCCCCATTATTCTTTTAATCCGGATAGCTTCTTTACATGCTTGGGTGACAGCCATGTATTCAGCTTCCGTAGTAGACAGAGCTACCACATCTTGTAACTTGGATAACCAACTTAGTGCCCCTCCATTGATGGTAAACACATAACCAAGTGGTAGACTTCCTTTTATCCAGATCACCCGCAAAATCCGAATCAACATAGCCTCTAACAACCGCTTCGATCCTCCATAACATAATGCAACATTTGAGGTTCCTTTTATATACCTAAGGATCCTCTTCACATTTTGCCAATGCTCTCCACCAGGATTCCCCATGAATCTACTAACCACTCCCACTGCTTGTTCAATGTCCGGTCTTGTACAAATCATGGCATACATAAGACTTCCCACTGCTGATGCATACGGTATTCGAGACATTTCAATCCTCTCCGCTTCACTGCTAGGACTCATACTTGAGGATAACTTACAGTTGACAGGAAGTGGGGTAGAAATTGGCTTGCAATCTTGCATGTTGAAGCGCCGCAAGATCTTAAGTAAATAATTCTTTTGAGAAAGCCAAATCTTCCTATCTTTTCCGTCTCGGTGAATTTGCATCCCTAAAATCTTGTTTGCTGGTCCCAAGTCCTTCATATCAAACTCCCTAGCCAATTGTGCCTTCAATTCTTGGATTCGAGCTTTGTTAGGGCCTACCACCAACATGTCATCCACATACAACAACAATATGATGAAATCATTTTCTTCAAACCTATTGTGGTAAGTACAATGGTCCGAACATAGTCTGTAGTATCCGAGGCTAATAATGAAGGAATCAAATCTCTTATACCAACACCTTGGCGCCTGCTTTAGACCGTATAAAGATTTGTTCAACCTGCAAACCAAGTTTTCTTGCTCTTTGAAGCCTTCTGGTTGGAGCATATATATTTCCTCTTCAAGTTCTCCATGAAGAAAAGCAGCTTTTACATCCAATTGCTCAAGATGTAAATCAAATGCAAGACACATCGCTAGGACAATTATGATTGTTGTCAATCTAACAACCGGTGAGAATATCTCGTTGAAATCAATGCCTTCTTTCCGAGCATATCCTTTTACCACCAGCCTAGCACGATATCTTTCCACTTGATCATTGACATCTCTCTTGATCTTATAGACCCATTTGCAACCAATGGCTCTGCGACCTTTTGGAAGTTCCACAAGATGCCATGTCTTATTTTTATAAAGAGCTTCAATTTCTTCTTCCATAGCAGCCATCCATAGAGGAGCTTCTGAACCACTCACAGCCTCTTGAAAAGTTGAAGGTTCTCCTTCTTCACTTAGGAGACAATACGCATCATGACTTGTCATCACATATTGTGAATGCCAAGATGGTCCGACTCTTTCTCTTGTTGATCGTCGGAGTTCTCCTTCTTCCACCTCATTTGGCTCATGTTCTTCATGCTCCTCCTCCGACTCGGAGGAATGTTCCGAAGTCTTCTTCTCTATCTCGTACTATAGTCTTGTCCTTTTCCGAGTTGTCATTTATCCGCTTGCTTTGCAGTTCATTTTCTCGCAAAGACGACATCTCTCGCTAACAATAACTTTATGGGCAGTGGGATCCCACAAGCGATACCCCTTCACATTGTCGCATATCCCAAGAAGATGCATTTCCTGGATTTTGGATCCAACTTCGTCCTTTCTTGGGTGTTGTACATCACGTACGCGGGACAACCGAACACATGTAAGGAAGAATAATCGGTTGATTTTCCACTCCACATTTCCATAGGAGTTTTCAACCCAATTCGTCGTTGATGGAGACCGATTTATCAAGTAACAGCGAGTATTCACGGCTTCTGCCCAAAAAGACTTTGTTATGCCTCGCAGCTTGCAAGCATAGCTCGGTTCTCTCTAGAAGAGTTCTATTCATCCGCTCCGCTACACCATTCTGCTCGAGGCGTGTGAGGAACGTAAAATTGTCTCACAATTCCTTCTTGCTTGCGAATGCTAGAAAATCTCCATCTACATATTCTCCTCCATTGTCTGTCCTCAAACACTTGATTCTCCTTCCGGCCTCAAGTTCTACTTGTGTTTTGAAGTCTTTGAACCGCGCAAATA